TTACTCAGTAAAATCGGAAAACCATATCGTAAATCGTTCATTTGCAAAATATCAGTTCATCCTATGGAACTGGACTGTTCCTGCTGCAAAACATCAATCCATTGTCACTATTCATGCGTTTCATACAAATTCCATTGTTTTCTAACTCTTCCTTTCTTGATCTTCCCCCATCTTCTGCTACCAGACATTACGTTGACACTCACGTTATATACTACTTATAAGTAGTTCGCACCACAGCACCACACTCGTCCCCCCTTTTAATAAGCTGTCGTCGTAGTCTTTCAAAACAGGGACCCTGGTCAGTTAATATCACCTTCCGTATTCCGCGACACGCTATGATATGCCGGATTACCACTTCGGTCACTGTTCTTGATCACTGGTCTGGAATGGATACGGCATCTATCCAACGTGTAGCGTTTACCAGTTCCCGATGCTGGGACAAGCGGCAGGCACAACTCGATAAATTGCGACACCAAAGACTGTGCCCCGCCCACTCCTCACGGCGCAATCCGGTGAGCCCCACAGCAAGCACCAACTCATAGCACTAGCCTAATTCCTAATATGTGAAGAGCAATTTCTCTCTACTACAAGGAATAACCCGACGTGTGATGGCTGATCATTCGCATAAAACCTACTATTTCGCTTATGTTTTATCGCTTTTAACTGTTCATTTTTTGATAATTAACTAACCAACGTTTTCTGATTGGCTGGTAGGACACTGGAACTTGACAGTACTTCATACATTTCTCTGTTTAGGTATACACACTCTTTCCCCGGTTAGAAAATAAATCCATTTCTTGAAGAAAATTTCATCAACTATAATTGAGATTTTGTAATCCTATCCACCTACTCACTAAAGTAAGATTTTTCACCCTTTCCTTCCTTAAACTACTCAAACTTGTCGTTTAATCATATTTTTAGTTCTAAAAGTAATATTACTGGTTAGTATAGGTTTGTCCGCCGTAATTGTGGTGGAGTTTCGTTCGTTCTCTGAGCTAGATGTTTTGGTTCCTAGAGCTTTCATTGTACTTCATCTGAACAACATCATCAACAGCACAAATTTCAGATAGCAGAAGTGAAGTATTCGAATTTATCCACATCATTTCATATCTGATTACTCTCCATGATTTGAAACCTTACTTGAACTAGCTTCTAGTTTCAGTCATCAGTTTGCCTTGATCTCTTTCTTGGGTTATTTCCGATTGTTATCGATTGCTATTTCTATTAAATGTGTAATTGAATTCTATCTGTTTACTGAGTAGTTGGCTAGTCTTCTCTCTGATTATTTAATCTCCCAAATAACCTCACAAACTATTTCGCATACTCCTCCAGTACACAAACTTACCAAAAGACTGAAGTTATCATTTTCTATTTCTACATAAGTAGTACATTGAACCTCTTAGTACGTTTTTAGTAATGTATGGCTAAAAAGCTTGTTTAGTATAGAGACTTCACACTAATACAGTAACTGCGTAATAATGTGAAGCAGCTCAGAAAACATTACTCCACGCCAGCAAATCGATTTCCGGAAAATAAATGGGCACGTGATTTTCAAATCATAAGATACTCCACATCCAATCAAAATTAAATGATTCATTTGTCATTCGACCAATCAAATCTTAGATCGATGAAATAATTTTTACGACCAATTAAATAATTGGTTTAATTGAAAAAAGTGCGCCCATAAACAAACTGATTACGTGTATTTTATTAACATTTAAACCAAAACATCCAGTTCAGAGAACAAAACTCAACCACAATCATCCAATCGGAGCTACAAGTTTTCTTCACCATTTAGACCTATCACAGCCTCCAAAATTTATCCTTAGGGGATACTAACATAAACTACAGTCAGTTCAATGTCTTCCCTGATCAATGTAGTGACTCACTTGGCTACTACTGATTGGCTGTCTATACTAGTTCGATCAATAGGTTTTAGGTTGAAAGTAATTAAATGGGAGAGAGCAAAAAATAGCCAACTTAGTGAGTAATAGGTGAAAAAGTGTAAGTACACAGACACATACTAGCACAGACATATGTATAAATCATGGTCAAGGTTATGCGTGAATAATTGATGAGAACAAATGAATAATAATAGGTGATTGGAACAAGTCAAAAGCCCGAGGGTAATTGTGTCCAAAGGTAGGACAAATCACACAGGCGTATTATGATAAAGATCTGGCACACATTGATTCTATTTCGTCACGGTCTCATCAACCACCTGATGGTCTGTGATACTTGGACTAGAAATATATATACACAAATGATGAGTCCCATACCAGGACGAGACGGCCGTCTGTCAGTGCTTTCAGGTTTCTAGTGGCGGTCTTACAATGACTAAAGCTTTCAATGTGCAAAAACAATGATCTCCATAACTATTGGACGACCATTCTGTGATAGTATTGGACTCATCAGTGCATCCATGACTCCAGCATGTGGAAGTCGAACTCACGCGCTAACGCTTAGCCTTTCGAACACTGATTCAGCGTCCGACGGTGTTAATGTCTAACATGAATCATTCCGAAGTATTGTACAACCTCAAGCACTATGTTCGGTATTCGATCATAGATGTCTTAGAAGCATTGCTCGTATATCATGGGACCACCGAGTAAGTAATGCTGCGGTTAAGAAACGAGTACTAGGTAAAGATGGCAGATCAATAGATGAAGTGGTGAGACTTCATCAGTTGAGGTGGTTGGCACATGTGTCACGTATGAATAACCACCGACTGCCTCGACGAGCTGTTTTGTGGTGTAGGGGTAGGTTGAAAGAAAGTTAGGGGTGGCCAGACCAAAACATGGCAGAAATCCATGAATTCACTGACAAGTTGACTGAGTCATGTTGGTAGATGTAGGCTACCTGGTTGGGGTAAGCGAGACGAAAGTCACCAATGGTTAGAAACATAGACTGACATGGCTCAAATCCGTTTGCAATGGTGCAGGTGAATCCATTCTTTGTGCTCTCTCATAATCTTCTGGATTCTTCAACACCTCTACCTTTGTTTTTCTAACCTTATCTCACTGAATTATACTTCTTGGATAATATCTTCGAACCCTAGTCTTCTTCATTACCATTAATATATCTACTATCACTATCACTATGTGATTTGATGTGACATCTGCTTCTTTGTGCTGATGTGGTATGGCAACATGAACTTATGGACTTACGTACTACTACTACTACTACTACTACTACTACTACTACTACTACTACTACTACTACTACTACTACTACTACTACTACTACTACTACTACTACTACTACTACTACCATCAATAATAATAATAATAATAATAATAATAATAATTGTATTACTAATTAAAATTTACCTTCAGGATTACGAATTTTCACATTGATTGCTTGATTACGTTGATGATTGGTAACTTGTATAGTTAATTGTGATAAATGTGAATCAACTGGAAAACTATAAGTTTTTGCATTTATATTTAATGTATCTTGTTGAAGTATGTGAACTTTACGTGCTTCAACAGCAGCTTCAACTACTTGCATAAACTAAAATACAAAAATAAAGGTATTCATTGTAAGTGAATTTATGTATGGATTTGAAGTATTTAACGTAGACAATTATTATTAATAAATACTTGCATCGTCTGGGAACTCCGCCAGTAGAACCTTCGGGTGCTACTACCGGTCCTAAGTCCGGATAAAGGAGGATGTATTGGACATGGGGTTGGCGACCCCATCCCACCAAAAGCTAACTTGCCAAAAACGCTAACCAGAAAAAACAATTCAAAACAATTTTCACTCGGTCCTGGGAGTTGGAAGAAGAATTATGACGTCGCGTGATGAAAGCCGAGTTCCCTCGGAAGTCACGGGGCTGATGCCTCTTCAGAGCAACCATTTTTTTAGGTACATGGAACGTTCGTACATTGTGGGAGACTGGAAGACTATTTCAAGTTGCTGCAGAAATGAAAAGATACAACGTCGAGAAAAAAAAAAAAAGTAAAACGCATTGGACGCAGGTTGGACAACTGAGACTAGCTTCAAGGGAACTGCTGTTATACTCTGGTCATGAAGAGGAAAATGCTTCACATATACAAGGAGTTGCACTGAGACAAGCCCTCACATGGAACCCTCAAGGCAAAAGGAAAAGAGGAAGGCCAAGGAACACACTACGCCGAGAAATAGAGAAAGATATGAGGAGGCTAACGAAAACAAAAAAAAACCAGACACAAGTTATGAGACGTGGCAGAATGCTCTTCACGACTATTTTTTTTCACGACTCTTCACATCCGTTCGTTGCAGCCTAGCCTTACGAGTAGACCCCCCCCCCCCGACACCCCGCATAATCACGGAGGCGCACCACCTGTTTCTGTCCAGTGTTTGTTCATTCCTCTCATATCTTTCTCTATTTCTCGGCATAGTGTGTTCTTTGGCCTTCCTCTTTTCCTTTTGCCTTGAGGGTTCCATGTGAGGGCTTGTCTCAGTGCATCTCCTTGTATATGTGAAGCATTTTCCTCTTCATGACCAGAGTATAACAGCAGTTCCCCTGAGGCTAGTCTCAGTTGTCCGACCAGTGTCCCATGCGTTTCACTGATGCCGAGCACTTCGAGGTTGTATCTTTTCATTTCTGCAGCAACTTGAAATAGTCTTACAGTCTCCCACAATGTACGAACGTTCCATGTATCTAAAAAAATGTTTGTCCTGGTTGTCGGAAGAGGCATCAGCCCCGTGAATCTCAAGGGAACTCGGCTTTCATCACGCGATGTCATAATTCTTCTTCCAACTCCCAGGGCAGAGTGAAAATGGTTTGGATTATTTTTTCTGGTTAGCGTTTTTTTGGTGGGATGGGGTCGCCAACCCCATGTCCAACCCTCCTCCTTTATGCGGGCTTGGGACTGGTAGTAGACCCGAAGGTTCTACTGGCGGAGTTCCCAGACGATGCAAGTATTTATTAATAATAATTGTCTACGTTAAATACTTCAAATCCATACATAAATTCACTTACAATGAATACCTTTATTTTTGTATTTTAGTTTATGCAAGTAGTTGAAGCTGCTGTTGAAGCACGTAAAGTTCACATACTTCAACAAGATACATTAAATATAAATGCAAAAACTTATAGTTTTCCAGTTGATTCACATTTATCACAATTAACTATACAAGTTACCAATCATCAACGTAATCAAGCAATCAATGTGAAAATTCGTAATCCTGAAGGTAAATTTTAATTAGTAATACAATTATTATTATTATTATTATTATTATTATTATTGATGGTAGTAGTAGTAGTAGTAGTAGTAGTAGTAGTAGTAGTAGTAGTAGTAGTAGTAGTAGTAGTAGTAGTAGTAGTAGTAGTAGTAGTAGTAGTAGTAGTACGTATGTCCATAAGTTCATGTTGCCATACCACATCAGCACAAAGAAGCAGATGTCACATCAAATCACATAGTGATAGTGATAGTAGATATATTAATGGTAATGAAGAAGACTAGGGTTCGAAGATATTATTCAAGAAGTATAATTCAGTGAGATAAGGTTAGAAAAACAACGGTAGATGTGCTGAATGAATCTAGAAGGTTAGAATTTGAGAGAGCACAATGAATCAATGGACCTGCACCATTGCAAACGATTTTTAGCCATGTCATTCAAGGTCTCTAACCATTGGTGACTTTCGTCTCGCGTACCCCAACCAGGTAGCCTACATCTACCAACATGACTCAGTCCACTTGTCAGTGACTTCATGGATTTCTGCCATGTTTTGTTTTAGCCACCCCTAGCTTTTTTTCAACCTACTCTTACACCGCAAAACAAAGCTCGACGAGGCAGTTCGTGGTTAGGCATTCGTTACACATGTCCCAACCACCTCAACTGATGCATTTTCACTACTTCATCGATTGTTCTGCCATCCTTACCTATTACTCGTTTCCTAACGTTAGCTTTGCTTACTTGATTGTCCCATGATATACGAGCAATGCTTCTAAGACATCTATGATCGAATACCGAACATAGTGCTTGAGGTTGTACAATACTTCGGAATGATTCATGTTAGACATTAACACCGTCGGACGCTGAATCAGTGTTCGAAAGGCTAAGCGTTAGCGCGTGAGTTCGACTTCCACATGCTGGAGTCATGGATGCACTGATGAGTCCAATACTATCACAGAATGGTCGTCCAATAGTTATGGAGATCATTGTTTTTGCACATTGAAAGCTTTAGTCATTGTAAGACCGCCACTAGAAACCTGAAAGCACTGACAGACGGCCGTTTCGTCCTGGTATGGGACTCATCATTTGATGTATATATATTTCCTAGGCCCGAATAGTAATCACAGACCATCAGGTGGTTGATGAGACCGTGACGAAATAGAATCAAATGTGTGCCAGATCTTCATTCAATAATTCACGCTCTGTGTGATTTGTCGCTCCTACCTTTGGACACAATTACCCTCCGGGCTTTTGACTTGTTCCAATCACCTATTATTATTACATTTGTTCTCATCAATTATTCTCACGCATAAACCTTGACCATGATTTAAATCATATGTTCTGTGCTAGTATGGTGTCCTTGTGTAACTTACACTTTTTCACCTATTACTCACTAAGTTGGCTATTTTTTGCTCTCTCCCATTTAATTACTTTCAACCTAAAACCTATTGATCGAACTAGTATAGACAGCCAATCAGTAGTAGCCAAGTGAGTCACTACATTGATCAGGGAAGACATTGAACTGACTGTAGTTTATGTTAGTATCCCCTAAGGATAAATTTTGGAGGCTGTGATAGGTCTAAATGGTGAAGAAAACTTGTAGCTCCGATTGGATGATTGTGGTTGAGTTTTGTTCTCTGAACTGGATGTTTTGGTTTAAATGTTAATAAAATACACGTAATCAGTTTGTTTATGGGCGCACTTTTTTCAATTAAACCAATTATTTAATTGGTCGTAAAAATTATTTCATCGATCTAAGATTTGATTGGTCGAATGACAAATGAATCATTTAATTTTGATTGGATGTGGAGTATCTTATGATTTGAAAATCACGTGCCCATTTATTTTCCGGAAATCGATTTGCTGGCGTGGAGTAATGTTTTCTGAGCTGCTTCACATTATTACGCAGTTACTGTATTAGTGTGAAGTCTCTATACTAAACAAGCTTTTTAGCCATACATTACTAAAAACGTACTAAGAGGTTCAATGTACTACTTATGTAGAAATAGAAAATGATAACTTCAGTCTTTTGGTAAGTTTGTGTACTGGAGGAGTATGCGAAATAGTTTGTGAGGTTATTTGGGAGATTAAATAATCAGAGAGAAGACTAGCCAACTACTCAGTAAACAGATAGAATTCAATTACACATTTAATAGAAATAGCAATCGATAACAATCGGAAATAACCCAAGAAAGAGATCAAGGCAAACTGATGACTGAAACTAGAAGCTAGTTCAAGTAAGGTTTCAAATCATGGAGAGTAATCAGATATGAAATGATGTGGATAAATTCGAATACTTCACTTCTGCTATCTGAAATTTGTGCTGTTGATGATGTTGTTCAGATGAAGTACAATGAAAGCTCTAGGAACCAAAACATCTAGCTCAGAGAACGAACGAAACTCCACCACAATTACGGCGGACAAACCTATACTAACCAGTAATATTACTTTTAGAACTAAAAATATGATTAAACGACAAGTTTGAGTAGTTTAAGGAAGGAAAGGGTGAAAAATCTTACTTTAGTGAGTAGGTGGATAGGATTACAAAATCTCAATTATAGTTGATGAAATTTTCTTCAAGAAATGGATTTATTTTCTAACCGGGGAAAGAGTGTGTATACCTAAACAGAGAAATGTATGAAGTACTGTCAAGTTCCAGTGTCCTACCAGCCAATCAGAAAACGTTGGTTAGTTAATTATCAAAAAATGAACAGTTAAAAGCGATAAAACATAAGCGAAATAGTAGGTTTTATGCGAATGATCAGCCATCACACGTCGGGTTATTCCTTGTAGTAGAGAGAAATTGCTCTTCACATATTAGGAATTAGGCTAGTGCTATGAGTTGGTGCTTGCTGTGGGGCTCACCGGATTGCGCCGTGAGGAGTGGGCGGGGCACAGTCTTTGGTGTCGCAATTTATCGAGTTGTGCCTGCCGCTTGTTCCAGCATCGGGAACTGGTAAACGCTACACGTTGGATAGATGCCGTATCCATTCCAGACCAGTGATCAAGAACAGTGACCGAAGTGGTAATCCGGCATATTGTAGCGTGTCGCGGAATACGGAAGGTGATATTAACTGACCAGGGGCTCTGTTTTGAAGGACTACGACGACAGCTTATTTAAAGGGGGGACGAGTGTGTTGCTGTGGTGCGAACTACTTATAAGTAGTATATAACGTGAGTGTGAACGTAATGTCTGGTAGCATAATATGGTGGGAAGATCAATAAAGGAAGAGTTAGAAAACTATGGAATTTGCATGAAACCCATGAATAGTGACAATGGATTGATGTTTGGCAGCAGGAAGAGTCCAGTTCTATAGGATGAACTGATCTTTTGCAAATGAACGATTTACGATATGGTTTTCCGATTTTAATGACTAACTCTGTAATTTTCGTTAAATACAATTCGGTTGCCCCCACCTGTTTTCTCACTCACTACAACGGTAATCTACCCGCAGAGTTTACATCACTAACAAGGACTAGTTAGGCTTAAGCTTTTCATCATAAACTGACATCAGTTACGATACAATATTTTGTCATTCTGCTCAAGAGACTAATGGTTGATATTCAGAATAAGAGTTAGAGCTAGAGGATATTATCTAACCTGACTCTTGATAACTTATCTAAATCATCACAATTACTTTTATTCAGTCAGTCAGTTGCAACGTAGAACTACGTATTTATGTACATAACTTCATGTTGCCATACCACATCAGCACAGAGACGCAAATGTCAAATCAAATCTCATAGTGATAAAGATAGTAGAGGTATTAATGGTAAGGAAGAAGACTAGGGTTTGAAGATATTATTCAAGAAGTATAATTCAGTAAGATAAGGTTAGAAAGACAAAGGTGGAGGTGCTGACGAATCCAGAAGATTAGGATTTGAGAGAGTTCAACGAATGGATGCACCTGTAGTGCCATTGCAAACGATTTTGAGCCATGTCATGCAAGGTCTCTAACCATCGGTGACTTTCGTCTCGCCAACCCCAACCAGCTAGGCTACATCTATCAACATGAATCAGTCCACTAGACAATGACTTCATGGATTTGTGCCATGTTTTGGTTTGGCCGCGCCCAACTTTCTTCCAACCTACTCATACACCACAAAACATAGCCCGTCGAGGCAGTCGCTGGTTAGGAGTAATTTTATTCAGTATCCACTACTCGTAATCACTAGTTTGTACTTCATTTATATTATTCTATATATATTACGTGATTTCTAATTTGTAGTTATATTATTATTTCTCTCAACTTATGGTAAACATATTTCTTCGGATTATTCATCTCCGGAATTCATTTTACTCATAATCTTACTCAAGTCAGCACTTCGTATTATTACAAGCAAATCTAAATTCATATGCTATCATTTAAGAAACACCGACTGCCTCGTCGAGCTTTGTTTTGTAGTGTAGGAGTAGGATGGAAGAAAGCTAGGGGCGGCCAAACCAAAACATGGCAGAAATCCATGAAGTCATTGACGAGTGGACTTAGCCATGTCGGTAATTGTCGACTACCTGGTTAGGGTCCGCGAGATGATAATAATCGATGGTTAGAGACCTTGAATGACATGGCTCAAAACCGTTTTCAGTGACACAGGTGCATTTATTCTTTGTGTTCTCTCAAATCCTAATCTTCTGGATTCTTCAACACCTCTAGTTTTGACTTTCTAACCTTATCTCACTGAATCATACTTCTTGAATAATATCTTCTAATCCTAACCTCTCCGATTACTTCTAATACCTTTACTACCTCTTCTACTATTGGATTTGAATTGACAATTACATCTCTGTGCTGATGTGGTATGGCAACATGAACTGATGTACTTACGTACGAAGTTCTACCTTGCATCTGACTGACTGACCGAATGACTGCTATAATTTAAGACGATATGTTATAACTTCAGCCTTTGGTTAGTTTAACGTTTAGCCAGGAAGGAGGTACATTGTGTGCTATGGGTATCTGTGAAGCAGCGTGTAAAGTTAGCTGGAAGAGTAAAAGAACAAGAGAAAACGATGAGCCGACGACTCAGTAAGCGCATAGAATAATGCACTTACATTTAGTAAAGAAATCAATAGACAGCAACCAGAGTAAAGTTTTCAATGTATTACAATATTTTACCTTAAACGTGTTTACTTTTTTGAATTTTCAATTTAAATATAATAGTTGTTGAATCTGGAAAGGGAAACTTTTTTTAAAAAGAATATTATTTTAGTTGATATTACTAATGTTTTAATATAATGAAACTTATCAACTTACTTACGCCTGTTACCACCCCCTCCCAGTAGAGTATAGGCCACCGACCAGTATTCTCCAACCTACTCTGTCTTGGGCTTCCCTTTCTAGTTCTGCCCAATGTTTGTTCATTCTTCTCATGTGTTTCTCTATTTCTCGGCGTCATGTGTTTCTTGGACTTCCTATTTTCCTCTCACCTTAACGAGTTAGTTCTCTAAGGGATGGGGTCGCTAACCCCAAGCATCCAACCCTGCTCTTTTATCCGGGCTTAGGACCGGCAGTAATCTCTAGAGGGGTTCCAGATGCAGTTAATCTGATGAGAATTTTTCACAAAATGATTTATCTTATATTATATTTTAATTTTCTTAGGCAAATTAATCGATAAAGAAGACGGCCTTAAACAATTAATGAAAGCTGTCAAATCTGTATTTGTCGGATCAATCGATCGACCGAAACCTGGTCAATGGACAATAGAAGTAAGCACAGATGTACAAGAAGAAGAAGGCATTATTGATTCTGAATCAATCGATGCAAAAACTAATAATGATGATGGTGACGGTGATGATGAGAATTCACAACAACGTGAACGATGGATTTCTGTTCGTGTATCTGGTATAAGTGATGTTGATTTTTTGCAAGGTTTTTCAACAACTCCACGATTATATAATTATGGAGCTTCGACACAACCAATTGCAGGTTTGTTTTTCGAAAAGGTTTCCTTTTTTTTTCCTTTTCTGTTACTTCTCAAGTTTTTCAATCATACTTTACTTACAAATACTTACTACGCCTGATTACCCCCAATAGAGCATTAGGCCGCCCATCAGTTTTCTCCAACCAACTCTGTCCTGGGGCTTCGCGCTCCAGGTTCTGGTCCAAAGTTTGTTCATTCCTCTCATACATCTTTTCTCTATTTCTCGGCGTGAATTGTTATTTTAAACTTTACAGTTATAAATCCTTGATCAATAATGTTACGATGAAATCATGAATCAATGATCAATGTTAGACCAACATCACTAGGAACATGGAAGCACTGAAAGATGGCCGTTTCGTCCTGGCACGGGACTCATCAATGGCAGTGTGCATCCACGATTCCGGCCAGCCAGTGCTTTTGGGTTTCTAATGACGATCTAACAATGATTGATTCATGATTTCAATGTGTAGAAACAATGATCTGCATAACTCTGGTTGAAACAAATTACAATGGATCAACATAAAGACTGGATAGATCATGTTACATAATAGTATATATGATAACATTTATAATTTACTTACTTACTTATGCATGTTACCCCTGATGGAGCATAAGCCACCAACCAGCGTTCTACAATCTGTTCTCTCCTGGATTTCCCTTTCCAGTTCTGTCGAGTTTTTGTTCATTCTTGTTACGTTCGTCACTAGGCAGTCTTGAAGCTTTTACGAGTTCACCTTAGTCAATAAAACGCGAACGAGACAATTACCAGCGTTCAGATAGGCTGCCTTGAATCCCAAGCTGAAGACAGAAGTCTTGATAAGCGTAGAAAGTATATTCTACAAACACCCAGCAAGCGCCATGCACTCGAGCACACAACTCTCGTTTATTTATACGTCATAGAAACGTCCTTGAGACAGTTAAGATAATGGCACACTAAAATATACAGCAGCCAATCACAGACATGGATTTTCCTTATAGTGACCATTGAACTCTTTAAGAAAGTCAAAAACACATGAAAACTTAACCAAGACAGTATGGTTCGGTTATGCAGGTGTAGCCACTCTACATAAACTTCTGCTCATCATATTACATGTATTATTCTATTCCCAGGTCTAATGTGTTATTTTCAGGATTCCTGGAAAACATACTGCTGACTGATGAGTCAGTACAGACAATGATGTAACTTCCATGTAAGATCTTATAGATAAGTAAGATAGTCACATGATAACAAGTCTGCACAATCATAGAATAGGTCTATTATTCTAGTAGCATAGATAAATGTATTGATTTTGACTGTTACCTTAGTCCTATGCACTCACTTATCTATCAATTTTACTGGCATTCGATAATGCAAACGTTGATTTCATATCGAATAATACGAAGAGCGTACTACGTGTTATAATTAACTAAATGATAAGGAATCCATGTAACATTAGAACAAAATGAATATGACACTGATTAGTCAGTCAGTCAGTTGCAACGTAGAACTACGTATTTATGTACATAACTTCATGTTGCCATATCACATCAGCACAAAGACGCAGATGTCAAATCAAATCTCATCAAATCCCATAGTGATAAAGATAGTAGAGGTATTAATGGTATCGAAGAATACTAGGGTTCGAAGATATTATTCAAATAGTATAATTCAGTGAAATAAGGTTATAAAGACAAAGATAGAGGAGCTGACGAATCCAGAATATTAGGATTTGAGAGAGCTCAATGAATGGATGCACTTGCGCCATTGCAAACGATTTTGAGCCATGTCATTCAAGGTCTCTAACCATAGGTGACTTTCGTCTCGCGGACCCCAACCAGGTAGACTACATCTACCAACATGATTCAGTCAACTTGTCAGTGACTTCATGGATTTCTGCGATGTTTTGGTCTGGCCGCCCCTAGATTTCTTCCAACCTACTCCTACACCACAAAACATAGCTCGTCGAGGCAGTCGGTGGTTAGCCATACGCAACACATGTCCCAACCATCTCAACTGATGAAGTTTCACCACTTCATCTATTGATCTGCCATCGTTACCTAGTACTCGTTTCCTAACTATAGCATTGCTTACTCGGTTGTCCCATGATACACGAGCAATGCTTCTAAGAAATCTATGATCGAATACTAGTAACCTACGAACATCTTCTACTCTTAACGGATTAGTTATCATACACAACAACTTACTGCGCCAAAATTGAAAACACAATGAACATTTAACACAAAAATCACGTTAAATTGAATCTTGATCTCATGTTTGTTTAAAAAAATGAATATTCTTTTCTAATGAATATTTTTCTGAAAAATTTTTAAAATTTTTACAGGTGTACAAAATTATATAATGGTTAATATGACTGGACGATTTCTACCAGGACAAATTGATCATTTTGATATGCGTTCACCAAATGGTGTATCAATTGTACGTTTACCTGTACAACAAACTGAAAAATTACAAATTTATGTTAGTCAACAAGCAATGGAACCAATTACTGGACATTATTATCTTGAAGTAAGTTTTTTGTACAGAAATAATATAAAGCAAAGCTGTAACCAGTGGAATTGATTTATGTCAGGTTTGAGGCAGTTACCCATAGAACACAATAGATAAGGTCTCAGAATATCGAGAATTAACTGGATGCCAGCTCAGTAGTCTAAAAGTGAAGAATTCGCATGGGAGGTCGTAGATACTGAGTTTGATTCCCGCTTGCGAGGTAGTGGATGCGGACTGCTGACGAGTCCCATACTCAGTTAGCCAGCTACATTGTATAATTTCATATGTATGTACATCAGTTCAAGTTGCCATGCTACATTAGTACAGAGAACGTATTGTGAATTCAAATCTCATAGTGTTAGAGGTAGTAGAAATATTAGCGGTAATACAGAAGATAAGGGATCGAAGGTATGATTCGAAAAGTATTATCCAGTGTATCAAATTTAAAATGAGACAGATAAAGGTCATGAGGAATTTAGAAGATTGGATTTAAGAGAACAGTAACAATGGATACACCTGCGCCATTGTAAACGGTTTTCAGCCATGTAACTCAAAGTCTATAATCAACAGCTATGATTTTCTCACGAACCTCAACCAGGTAGTCTACATCTAATAACATACTTAAGTCCACTTGTCAGTGACTATGGATTTGTGACATGTTTTGGTTTGACCGAACCTAGCTTTCTTCCAAACTACCTCTACATTTCACTGAAATTATGAATCAGCCGTTGTTAGATCATCATTAGAAACCTGGAAGCACTGAAAGACAAACGTTTCTTCCTGGCATGGACTCATGAGCAGTGTTCATCCACGACTCCTCTTCACGGAACTCGAACCCAGGACCTTTTTTCTCACACGCAAACACTTAGTCTCTACATGACTGAGATGGTATCCGACGGTATTAATGTCTAACTCTAATCAATCCAAGCTAATGCACACTCTCACCCGTCGTCTTCGGTAGTTAGTGTGTGGTGTGAGCTAATTATTAGTAGTATATTACGTGAGTGTCAACGTAGTGTTTGGCAGCAGAAGATGGGGGAAGATCATGAAAGGAAGAGTTAGAACACAATGGAATTTGTATGAAACGCGTGAATATTAGTTACAATGGATTGATGTTGTTTGCAACAGGAACAGTCCAGTTCGATTTGATGAACTGATATTTTGCAAATGAACGATTTACGATATGGTTTTCCGATTTTACTGATTAACTCTGTAATTTTAG